ATAATAATAGCAAATATAATTAACAGTTATGAGAAATTGAGATACAACAGAAACATATTGCACTTTTACTATATGGCAGGTAGGGCTGTAGAATTGTTTCACATTTATGACAACTTGGTGCATTGTTTCATTTTTGTGACAATTGTATAACATAAATTCCATTTTTATTATTCACATTGTAAATGAGAATACCAATGCTTAGGGATACAATGTAAATGGTCCGTGTTGGGGCAAATGGTAAATGATGAATATTAAATGTAATCCCAGAAATAATGTAATTTAAAAATATTCCAGCAGCATGGAACATATTTTCACTTACAAAATATTTACACTCTATTATGTGCCAACCACAGTTGTTCTAAGAATTGCCTTCAGGCTTACACTCTTAATTCTAGCGAAGGACAAATAAGTAAGACAACACATTACTGTATTAATTACTTTAATCAATTTTAGCTAGAATTTAAATGCAATAAGAACACACCATTATGAAACTAAATATTTTGATGAATAAATATGATCATAAAAATACCATTACCCTCATGATTTTTACCCTATTGTCCAAAAAACCAATCTTACGACTTTCTGCCCAGAATTTATCTAGCTCCTAGCAACAAGTGATCTGCTTTGTTGCTATAGTTTCTACCCTTCCTTTGATTTTGGAGAATTTTGTATAAACAAAATCATGCAGTGTGTAATGTTTGTGTGTAGCTTCTTTTTCTTAGCATAATGATTTTGAGATTTATCCATGTTGCATGTGTCACCAGTACTTACAATAATGAGAAGTTCCAATTGAATAAAGACACAAATTAATTTTCCTACCCACCAGATGAAGAATATTTGGGTGGTGTCCAGTTTCCAGTTATTATGAGTATAGTCACTATGAATAGAAAAATTTTGTATGGACATGTGTTTTCATTCGTCTTAAGTAAATAACTTAAAAGTGAAAGCTTCAGGTTGCATAATAGGTGTACATTTTATTGCATAACAAATTTCCAAATTGTTTTCCAATGTGACTATTCAACTTCGAATTTCCTCTGGACCTGTCTGTTATCCATCAACCAAATCCTTCTCCGGTTCTTTTCTCTGTTGCAGGCGCTTTCATCTTTCATCACAAACCACAAGTCTAAAGGTCAGGCCGGAAAGTCTCTTTGGACCTGTGACTGCTTTCAGAGCATTTCTCCTCATTTGTCTCTCTCCACTCAAACTCAGGCTGCTCCCAAAATGCTTCCAACCTCGGTATTGCTGTCCATAACACATCTGTATTGCCCTCATTTATACTTTTTGATCACAGCCCTTCCCTTGGTGAAGGTTCCAGGACTTACAGTCCTGTCTTCCTTCTCTGCCATTTATGCCTTTGCCATGCACTGTTTTACTGAACATATATGAACAGGTGGATTCCTTTATGTCATATACATATGTAGCTACTGGTTTATAGCAGTATACCAAAAGAAAAGAAAAATTCCAACTCCCGTTTAGTTTTCAATAAATTGAGGAGATACATGCATTCATGTGTCTATAAACAAAAATTCATACAAATAGGTACACATGCACTATGTGGTGTGTATACATATGTGTGCACCTGCATTATATATGTATGCATATGCAGAATATAAATTATTATGGCTTGTATCTATATGTTCTCTCCAAACCCGGAGCCAGTCTATATAAATGGAAACCACCACAAACTGTGAGCTAAATAACCCTTTTCTCATTTAACTTTTGGTGTCAGGTATTTTATCTCAGCAATGAGAAAAGTAACTAAGACACAAATATATATGCATATTTACATATACACGAGATAGATACACAGACAGACAGATAGAAGATAGATGTAGTCTTCATTTAACCAACTATGTGTTTAATAATTCTTCAGATTTACAATCCTCATCCTAGACTTTTTTTCTGGTACAATTTCATACATCTTGTTGATAGAGTCTGAACTGTTTTGTACAGTATAGCCTGTTTATAAAACACTGTACTTTTTGCTGATTTTAATGTACAGTATAATATAATAGTATGTTATAGAATATAGTCCTAAAATCAGTCATAGAGTTGAAGGTTTCCCTTGACCATTTCTCTGTCCTGAATATAGTAATGTACACACTACTCACAATTCTTTACTTAGCAACCAATTTAAAGAACAATTAAGTCCCAGGTCCATGATTCAGTCGTTAAACCCAGAATGTCTGTATGATACATACACACATATCTAGGATATATTAAAAAAAAAAGAGCTGAAAAATGGTTCTGTGAGGGGTACAAGGTGGAACTGTTTTAATGATTAATAGGATATTGAAGGTAGGTTTCACTCTAAGAATGTGACAGTTGAGTCAGGTGACAGACAACAAAGCAGGTGATGTGTTTGTGCTTGGAGAGAGAATTCCACACAGAAGCAACTGCACATACAAAAATTTTTTTTTTTAAATCGGTATTGGGGATCCAATTCATGACCGCCTGCTTGCAAGGCAGGTGCTTATGCCGCTGAGCTAAATCTCCAGCCCCTGACAACAAGATTCTTGAGGCTGGAGTATGGCCAGCTTACTCAAGAAAGTAAGAAAGCCAGCAGCAGCTGAAGCGGAGTGAGTAAACAGGAGAAAGCGAGGTCAGACAGATGAAGGAAGAGATCAATTGGCAACGCTGAGGACTCAGACGTTAGTTCAGGGGCAGGGAGGGAGCCGCTGTTGAGTTCTGAGAAGAGAGAAAATGTGATCAGGCTCCGGTATGAAAAGCTTTGCATAACTGCTCTATGGGTGGAATAATGGAATAGAACATGGCAGAACACCTGACAAGCTCTCCCAATCATTTGAGAGATAGATATCTCAGGGGACAGTGGTGCATTCTGTGCATTTTTTTGAAAGAATAGCCACCAGGATTTGCTGAGCAATAAACTGTTCTAGGTAATTTGTGCTTTAATTTTGGGGAATGGGCAGTAGAAGAACAGAGACCCCGCTGACTGAGACAGAGAAAAGAGCAGAAGGAGCACAGTTAGGGAGTTAGAGATGGAGTTCCGTGTTAGCTGGGTTTATTTTGTGACTTCACCATCTCCGGGTTACTCTCTGGCTTTCAGTGTCATGGCTGCTCAACCAAGGATTCTCACGCTCTGGCCTGCCTATCGTGTCTGCCCACAGGGTGTGGTCCCCATCGCCAATTCTTGGATCATATAATCATCACCTTTAACAATCGTTTCACCTCAGAATAACTACTATGTTATATTTCAAGCACCTCAAAATGACTGCTGTGTTATATTTATCTTACTGTTTAGCTCATGATTTCCATTTTTGGGCCTTGGGAAAAATCCAGTCCTTTGACTCCACCACAATACTGTTCTGTGCTTTTCTGCATGAACTCTTCCCTTCATTACCCGACAGTGACTCCTTGTCCACTTCCATACGGTATCTTGCCTTCTCTTTCAGCTCACATTTCCCCCTTCAGCTGTCATGCTCCATATTACCTTGGTCCTAGGAAATTCCAATTCTCTGCTACTGTGCTACTCCACCTAAGTACTGAAATACAGCAAGTTCAAACCTCTACAGGCTTCTCTTTAAACTCAAGATTACAACCCTGACTTATAGCTTTAATAAATTCACCTCATTTCTGGTTGAAAGGAGTATTTTATATCTACTCAGATCTTTTCAATCATATTAATTGTGTCTTTCTCCCATGCTCATCCAGTGACTGTATATCTCACTAAACTGAGAAAACATTTGTAAATGAGTTTTCCTTCAGATGTGTACACATCTTCCTAAAACTAAATCCACTATCTTGTCTATATCTGTACCTGTGTTTTTGGCTCACCTCTTATTAAAGTGGGTAAACATCCCTGTTCCTTCCTGTCTTCATTCATTTTCTGCTACTATAAAAGTAGCAGACCATGCAATTATATAAGAGACTAGGCAATTTCTAAATAGTAGAAGTTTATTTGGCTCGGGTTGGGAAGTGCAAGGACATCTCACTGGCAGGGGCCTTCACACTACATCATCCATGGAGAAGGGCAATGGAACCTGGGAGACAGAGAGAGGAATGGAATCTGTGAACTTATTCTTTCACTGAGAGCCTGCTTCCCCACAACTAACCCCTTCCTGTGATGGTGGCATTAATCCCCTCACAATAGCAGAACCCTGCTAACCTAATTGCCTCTTACGGGTCTATCTTTTAGTACTACGACATTGATGGTTAAATTTCAGTGTTGATCTTGGAGGGGACACTCAACTCAGAGCACTATAAAGAAGCCAGTTCTTTGATCTGAAGTCTGTCTTCTCTCACCTATTAAAGGTTGCTCTTTTACAATTACGCTTTCCCTCACCACCTAAGTCTTTCCTCTACCACTCATCTCCTACCCACTCAGCATTCAAATGTGTCATAACAAAACTCATCGTTAATCTTCCTTCATCTTGTGTTTCTATTAACTACTTCCCAATTTCTTTGCTTGTACTAAAAATACAATTCTTCAAAAGAACTTTCTAGGCATGAATCCAGTTTTTGCCTTTGTTCTCCTTTTAGCCCACATTAGATAAATACTCTTCAAGACCATTAGCGACTTCAATCCTTTAGTGGCCAATTTTCCTTCTTCTCTCACTCAAAATCTCAGGCATTTGACATCATTGTTTCTCTCTCTCTCTTTAAAAACTATTTTCTTGAGGTTTCTAGGATAATGCCATATTCTAGTGTTTCCTCTTACCTTGGGGTGATATTGTCTTACTCTCTTTTTTAGGGTCCTTAGGGTGTCTAAGGACACGACCCTGAGGACCTTCTTTCTTTCCTCCTCCTTCATAATTCCACCCTCCACCCATGATGGCCAACTCTATCTGTATGTGAATCTCATCAAGCACTAGATGCCTCCAGCTGGGTGTCTAGTAGGCATCTAAGTCTCAACAAAGTCACAGACAGAGTCCTTCATTTCCAGTCATTTTATCATGGGCCCTAAACACACTCAGACACACTTGTGCTCACAGATTTCCTGTAATAAATGGCAAGCTAGTACAATACCAAGACCAAGAAGCTTAAACAAGACAGGTTTATTTTCATCATGATTTTGAAGTCCAGTCATCCAGGATGAAGGTACTGGCAGGTTTTATTTCCTTTGAGGTCTTTTTCTGAAGGTGCAGATGGCTGCTATCACTCTGAATCTTCATATGGTCATCCTTGATGTATACATGCACTTTTTCTCTTTCCAAGAGTACAAATTTTTTCCCTATACAAGGAAACAATCACGTGGAATTAGTGTTTATCCCAATGACTTCATTTTCACTTAAACACCCATTGAAAGACCTGATCTTTAAATACAATCACATCATGAGGTCCTGGGGTTAGGGTTTTAACATCTATCTGAATTTGGAATAAGGAAACAAAGTTCAACTGAGTGTCTTGGCCCAAAATTATAGCTATCATCCCATGTGTTAGTCAGAGTCCTCATCACTGGGACACGATACTTGACATTGACAGTTTAAAGGAGGAAAGGTTTGATTTAGCTGAACATTCCAAGGAACTCAGTGTGTGACTGGCTGTCCCCAAAGCAGGAACATCATGACAGAAAGCCAGGGTGGAGCAAAGCTACTCACCTCGGCAGGGGTGGGGAAGCAGAGCAGGGGAGCAGTGGCAAAGTGGACAGGACACACGAAACACAGACTCGAGGTCACACCCCCATGACACACTCAAACACACCAAAACATGTGTTCCACCATTCCCTGAACAGATCCCAAAGCAATCAAGTCAACGCTCCACCCTAATAGCCATACTCCATCCCTCTGTTCTCCTAGGCAGTATCAATAGTCTTGATCTAGCTTTAAGGATAAGGCAAATGTGATCATACAAAATCTCCACCCCTAAAACCCGCGTCTCCGCCATGCCCGTCACTTGTATGGGTACTTACTGCTAATCTCTCTCCTTAACTCTTACCCATGTGTCTCCACCTGGCTCACACTGTAGTGAGAGGGAAAATAGAAGTATTAATTTCTTCAGTGGCTTCCTAAGGCATTGAGACGGAAATCTCTATCCCTTACCATAACTCACAGGCCCCAATGACTGCTTCTATATTAGCACTCACCATATTTCTCTTTGATTACCCTCCAGTCATACTGGATCTCTTGCTAATTTTTACATAGAACAATTTGAAATCATACACCATGCAATGACAGTTCCATCCCCAACAGACCACTTGGGTAATGGTTAGCCCCTAAGACTGTAAGGGAGCTGAAAAGTTCCTATCGCCTGATGACATCATATCTGTCATAATGCTGTAGTGCAACACATTCCTCATATGTTTATTGGCTACTCACAATAAAAAAAAAACTTATTGGTTACTTACTGTTAGGTGCCATTTGTATTAAAGTGTAGCACATACCATTATGTGCCATATATACTTGATCATGGCTGTAAACACCTGTTACTGGCTTACATATTCATTGTACTTTACTTTTTATTGTTGTTTTAGAATTCCCTCTGTTTTCTAACAAAAATGTTTTCTGTCAAAGGATGTACCATGTTACACTGAAAACAGTGAAGAAGAGTTTTTGAAGGAGTTTAGAACAACATGATTAAAGATCTAACACACACACACACACACACACACACACACACACACGGAAGGGGAGTCAATGCTGAGAGCCTAAGGCAGAGGATGAGCCTCTGTCAGCATTTCGTGTCTCTGCTCATCCCAGTCACTAAACTCCTTGAAGACAGGACCATCCACTGTGACTATTGTCTGCCAGCGCTGAGTCTGGAGTGTGGTCTTGGCTTGCATCTACTGAACACATAGATGAAGACTGGGTTGGCACACAGTCTGATGAAGGATAGATAGGAAGGTGGTTGCAACTAAGGTGCATTGGCTTCCAGGGCAGCTACAATAAGTACCCCACACAGTACTGCTTACAGTGAAAGAAATCGTTTGTCCTGTATTCAAAGCCCCAAATCAGGATGCTAACAGGTCTATGTGCACTCTGTAACCTTAGGAAAGAATCCTTCTTTGCTTCTTCTTAGCTTCTGCTAGTTGCCACCAATATTTGACAACCACAGCCTAGATCTGGATCCCTCCAGTCTCTACATTCCTCTCTACATTTGTCTCTACAGCCCATCCTGTGCCATTAGTATGACTTCATCATAACTAATTATATTTGCAAAAACCCTATTTTCAAATACATTCCCACTCTGGGGTACTGAGGATGGCATTTTTGAAAGTCATAATTATAACTGTACTATATGATACATATATGTCATGAGAAGCATGCCAGAAGGATGCCATGCAGCCAGGGTGCTTTAGGACAGAGGCGAAGGGAGCTTAATCTGTGCTCACTGATGATACTGACATTGCAAGGAATTTTACAGTTCCTACCAATCAAATGTCAGCTGCAGCTGGCAGTGCCAGGCCAGATTTCCCTAAACTGTTTATGACTGGCTTCTCCAGCGCTGTTTGTGTTTTTAGAATATGAAGCAGTGTTTAGTCACTTTCTCAGGGAGGACTTGTCAGTGTGGTTTCTAAAAATGTGCTGCATGTGTTTCCAAGGAGCAAAGGCGCCAGAAGGCCTTTGGTGGAGCAGGCTGAGCCCTGTAATCACAAACAGATGACAGAGCTCCCTGGTTCTGACTTTGAGAAACCAGCACTGATCCCAAATACCAGCTTGCATTTAGACTGGACAAAATCTTCCTCTCAGAAAAACTGCCATGGGCTCCCTGGGATCTATCAGTTCTCAGACTCTCGGGGCCCTCAGTTTACTGGTAGTGTAAGGAGACACACTGTTCTAAGCCTTGTGTTCTAGGAACCAAGAAAGGCCTGCCACTGCCTGAGATGGCCAATAAAAACTCTCCAGAGAAGGATGAGCTGAGAAGATGGGGCTTTGAACCCTGTTATCCATGTATCCCCAGCCCCTTGTGAGCTCTTCTGTCTGCTGGGGCTGGAGTGAATTTTCAGCAGAATCTGACTTTAACTTACATAAGGGTACTTACTGGGTGGGTTTGGAGATGGCCTGAGGGACCAGGGAAGCTTGGACCACTTACAGCCCACTGGGCACAGGGACTGAGGACAAAACTGGAGAGATCAGGAAGAGAGGAGCTCTTGTTACTGCAGCCTCAGAGTGGTTCCAAGAGCACTGGGAACTCTGGGCCTTCAGTCAGGGTTTTAATTCCTATTCCAGCTCTAGACATCCTCCCTCCTGGGTAAAGCAAACTATGAGAATGCATGAGCGCTGTTGCCAGGAGCAGGGAGAGGTGGCAGTCACTGTGCAGAGCAACAAAAGCAGCTGCCACACAGGGGACTCAGGTAAGTCCTGAGGGAGGACTCAGCATCACCCTCAGATACTTCTAACTGCAGCCCACCTTCCCAGGATCAGACTGGGAAGCCCCTATGCCGACAAGGCATGAGGTCCATATTACATGTGCCAGCCATGAATGATGGAGCCAGATGGAGAAGACACCCCAAGAGAATCGAGCCTACATATGAATTCCCATCACAGAGCCCCAACAAGAACAAAGACTCTACATATCCTTATTCTTCCCATCACAAGCTAGCACCGCATCTAAGTCATGAAGACCAGCACATCCTCCTTGACTGTTAGTTTCCCACAGCACTAAGATTCTCTGTAGTGTTGCTATTGTATTCCCAGGATATTTCCCAACTGTACCCACACTGTACCTTTTTAAAAATTTCCCTCTGCACTCCCCACATAACAAAGACAGGTATCCAATTCTAGGAGCAGTTGGCAAAGGCAATGCTTCCTGGAGCAAGTGGAAATTGAGATGATTTCTCTGCACATTGGTAATGGTGGAAAGGACAGGAAGGAAGCGTAATAGTCAAGGGGACATTATGAACCACAAGGGGACCACACAAGGGATGTTTCAGGGCTGAAAGGAAGCCCATTAAGGGGCACTGTGTTTATTCAAAATAGTAAGAATAAAAATGCTAAACAAGATGTAAAAGGTACAAATCAGTAATAATAATAAGTGTGACTACATTCAAAAGTAAAAGTCAAATTTCTGAATGCTTTTTCCCTAAAAAAAAAAAAAAAAAACCATGCACAAAATTAAAAGACAAATAGCAAAAGATAAAATAGATACTTGCAATAACCGTATTAAAGAATGCAAATTGTTACTCTATAAAGAACCCACTCAAATAATAAAAGGAACCATAACACGACCAGTATGTGTAATTGTGCAGCAAACATTTATTGTATATCTAAGTGATTCAGAAAAAGAAATACAAATTGCTGGAGCAGAAACCAGATTTTATTCATGAATTTAGCAAAGCAAATTGGAGCAGTAGGATATTGTTATTGTTAAACTATCAGACTGACAATGATTAAAGGAATTACAAAATATGGTTTGGGCAAGATTTGGGGAAAACAGATATTCACACACTGGTAATAAGAATATAAATTGGAATTCCTTCTTTGAAGGTCAATTTGGCAAAAGGTCAATTTCTGTCAATATGCCTTTTAATTCATAAATTCCTCTCTGAAGAATTCTCTTCTATAAATATGCCCACTCCTGCACTCAACAGTGTAGGGCCAAGAACATTCATTGCAGTATTGTTTAGTAAAAAATAGTTTAAAAATAAGTTAATCCAAACTGGAAATAACCTACATGCTCATTAATAAGTGATTTGTATGTCAATTATGGTACATTTATACAATTAAATATCAAGAAACATTGCAAAGAATGATGTGCAAAGAACATTGCAAAGAATAAAAAGAACCATAGAAATGCTATATACTAATATGAAAATATCTAATAATATATTAAATTAAAAGAAAAAGTCACAGAACTGAGTTCATAGAACACTTTGTGTGACAGATGTGAACGCAGATGTGTGTGTGTGTGTGTGTGTGTGTGTATAGGGGGGAGTCTGCATTTTAATCTATTTATTTAAATTTATTATATGGATAATAACTTTCTTTGTATTCATCTATTTTCTAGTTATTGTAAGATATTTATGTCTCGAGATTCACAGATTTTTAAAATCTGTTTAGGGGTCATTACACTTTTTCAGACTATTGCTCTCTCTGCTTCTAAGTGCTTTTAAAATAGTTCTTATGCTTGTCAGTTTCAGCATGTTGATTTGGTCGCAGAGGACCCAAATGAAACATAATAATAGGTGTCTTTGGAAGAGGTGAGCCCTGAACTGGTGGGCTCCGCCTAGCAGGTCTCCTTTCCCACGTGGATGGACATCACGAATTCTGCTCGGCGCCTGAAGCAAACAAAAGA